AAAAAGAACCAAACCAAAAATTGGTTAATCCGTTATTAGGCTACTACTACTAATAATAATATTAACAATAATAATTAATGATTTCACACCTGTCTATTATTTTTTATCGTAGATCATTGATATGTGTTATATGTGTTTCATACACTAAAGACTTTAAGTGTCCCCAAAAAAAAAGAATAAATCAAATTAAGGTCTGATGAGCGAGGCGGCCAAGCTAGAGGTCTGCCCCGACATCGATGTTCAAATGCCTCATTTAAATACATTCGTACAATCAATGTAAAATGGGGTGTAGCGCCATCTTGAATTAACCGCATATTTTGTCTCCACTTCAAGGGTACCTCTTCCAGCAAAGGTGGTAGTTCCTCCTGGAGAAATTGCAAATGCATTTCCCCATTAAGAAATTAGGTCCAATAAGGTTATCTGCTAATCTCCTATAATCCCTACCCATTTAAATATTGCGTATAATTTTGAATTTTTCCTAAAATTTGATTGCATAAAATTACTCTCAATTGACATGAAAAATGAAAGGGCCTAAAATCATTTTTATGCAAAATTGCCCAAACTGTAGAGGAAGCAATTCTTTCCTGAGCAGCAAGTTTCCTCGCACTCGTTGACGAGTCAGCCTCCACATTTTGAAGTATTCTTTCTTCCCTTGCAGCGGTTTTTTTTTTACCTTGATCTCCTTTTATTCATGTTATCAGGTTTTTTTTCGAACCTCTCCGCCCACTAGTGTATACATATTTCATAAGGTCTACGAAAAATAACTTGTTTTCAAATCCCGCGTATGTACATTTAAAACGACAATATTTCGCTAAATAAACTGCTATGGATTATCTACTAGCAACCAACTTGCAGTTTACAATGTAACAAGATTTAAATACCCTAGCAGTTCCGTGATGGTTCAGGGCATCGAATGTAGAAAAAGAACCAAATCAAAAATCGCTTAATCCGTTATTAGGCGACTAATTTAGTTCCCATTTAGGTTAATTAATTTCGGAAATCGTTCAGTAGAGAATTCACTATTTTCAAAAAAGAAGTTCACACTCCATACTATCTATCACGGATGATGACAAGCTGAGGCTTATAATCCTACTCGAAAGCTTTTGATATTCTGCATCGCATTTTCATTTCAATGTTAAATTTTATTGGGTGTTCAGAAAACGCAATTAATTATTTAGCTTCCTACCTACAGTAAAACGTTAATAAACGTTATCAGGGATCCATTTTAATACCGCCTTTCCTCTTTGCATATGATTCTCGTTTCACAAAATTTCTGTTGTCGGGTTCTCATGACCGCTATGCAAACGACGCACAAATTCACCTTTTTTTCCACGGTAATTTTAAGCATTCCATATGCATTAAGCATTCTGTGCAATTAAATGCCAGCAAATCCGAAGCAATACTTTTTAACATTATAAAATAATGAATTAATAATAAAAACAAAAAGTTCTGTGATAGGGGTGTTGCTATTCAATGTTAAATTTTTTATATCAAAATTATAATTTTTTAAAGCAGGATACATAAAGGATACATTAGTTACAACTTATGAAATGACAATGTACTTTTTTTATCTCTTTTCTTGGGTTAGATAAAACAATATATTTTTATATATCTTTAGTAGACCGCTTTGTTAATATATATATATATATATATATATATATATATATATATATATATATATATATATATATATATATATATATATATATATATATATATATATAGGGTTTTTTACAGCTGTCGCTGTCTCCCTTCTCTCAACCTACGCCTCCATCCATCTCTATCTTGCCATTCATCTCCGATACCTCTTTTTTCCATAGATTCATCTACTTCATCCCTCCAAGATCTTCTGGGTCTACCCCTTTTCCTTCTACCTATGGGGCTCCATTCTGTTATCTTGTGTATCCACCTATTTCTGTCCGTTCTTCTTACATGCCCATACCATACCAATCTCTTTTCTTCAATCAATGCTAAGGTATCTTTCTTGACACCCATTCGCTGCCTGATCTCCTCGTTTCTTACTTTGTCTATTCTCGAAATTCTACAACTTCTCCTCCAGTATTCCATTTCAGTCGCCTGTATTTTACTTTTGTATTTTTTGTTGATCACCCAGTTTTCCGCGCCGTATGTTATTACGCTCTGTACTATGGTGTTAAATATATATGATTTGGTGTGTCGAATGATGTGTCTATCCCAGAGTATTGGATTTAGTTGTCTGATACAGTTTCGCGTCTGGCCTAGTCCACTGTTCATTTCTTCCTCTGTTGTCCCTTTTTGAGATATTATGAAACCTAAGTATTTGAAATTTTTGGTTCTCTTTATTTGATGATTTTCATCGACTTGTAGGTAGTTGTCTCCATCTTCTGTTGTTGCCAGGTATTCCGTTTTCGAAAAATTTATTTCCATTCCATTTTTTTCATATTCTTCCTTCAGTTTTCGTAACATGTAACTTAGGTCTCCTTCGTCTTGTGCGAGTACAACTTGGTCGTCGAAATTTAACGTGTAAAGACAGTCGCCTCTGATTGGAATTCCCATTTGTTCACATTTTTTATTCCATGGTTTTAAGATCTCCTCTAGAAATATTTTAAACAATGTTGGTGATGTGGAGCATCCTTGTAGCAGCCCTTTTGTTGTTTTAAAGCTTTTTGAGGGTCTATCTTCGATTTTTATAGATATTTGGTTTCCTTCAAACATTTTTTTAACGGTCTCTATTAATTTTTGTGGCACTCCGATGGTCTTCATTGCCTTCCATAGTATCCCCCTGGGTATGGTGTCGTATGCTTTTTTATTATTATTATTATCATTATCATCTAATAGCACTGAACAACTGATAGGGCAATACCAGCCAACCATGCTTTCGACAAGCGAATGATTCAACTATTCGCTTCGAAAAATAATAAAAATAAAACGCATTCCTCCTCTCCTCCCCTAAAAAAAGTTTTTAAATACGCAGCAAATATCGTTGTTCATAAATAATAATATAATAATAAGATGGTGGTTAAGTCTAAGCTTCCACCAATAATTTTAAAGAATGGTGGATGGAAAAAATTTTGTTAAGCAAGCCTTAGAGCATATATTAATTTTCGGGTTTCGAGGTTCAATGCAATGCAATACTCTAACATTCAACTTAAGGATTGCCCGAACCAGTTGATTGTGTCAATCTCCACTGTATAGTCAGCATATCGAGATTTCTTGTACCTTAATAATCTTAGATAGGTTTAAGCTGGCGATAAATAATCCTTTTTCTATCTGATGAAGACGGAGAGTTCAGTAAGTATTCGTTAAGCTCGGTATTGAGAGGTGGCTTTATATGAGACTGAAATTATATTAACACAAAACTACAACGTACTGTTTATTTGCATTTACGACAATACATTGCATAGAAAAAAGGAAAAAAACAAAAAATAATACAATGAGCCTAGGTGCAATTTGTAAATAATCTTCAACATGGCACTCAACTTTTATGGTTTTCCAATATTTATATTATTTGGCAAACTATTATCACGATTTATAAAAACGAAAAAATATATTTCGTACAAAAACACAGAAGATAGAGTTCAAATATTTTTATTTTTTATATTAACATCTCTAAAACCGTGGTTTTTTGTTTTTCTTGGAAGAGAACATGTACATCTTTTTGGATAATAAAACGACCTGAAGCGATGGTCGACCAACCCCAGAAACAGGCACCATAGCCTTGGGTCAATATTCGCAAAATAAACCTGAAATAAGCGTTCAATTTTCAGCCACAGAACCTAACTTTGAGGGGTACTTCTGATATTGTTTACAGTTTTTTGAACGTAAGATAAAAAAGATGATCACAGAACCAGCTATTTTTAATCACTTTCAAAAGCCATTCCAGAGTTGCCTGAAATTAAAGATGAAACAACATTTGCGAAAACATTACGATCTATAATGACAAATTGTCAAAATATCTTCAGAAAAAAAATGCATTTCCTGCCGACATTGACAATACCAACTTAGTATTCCGCGTAACAAAACGACTTTTTTGGAGCGTTCTTTTTCGTATATTGCTACCAAAATAATTCCGAGATACAAAGATACAAAGAATTACCTTCTTAATAAATTTTAATTACAGTGTATGTTATAATAATATATAGGATTTTGTATGAAATTTATTTGTTTACTATTATTACAAGAATGGGAGACCAGTTATGCTGCATTTCGCCGAGTTGAAAATCATTTCTATTCTATTCTATTTCATTGCAGATCCAACTGCTGACCCTTCTAAGGGATATTTGAAACTGATACATTATTAAGTGATATTGAGTGTACAAACATTAGCATTATAAACATTAAATTTAAACCAGCAATATCTGTCACAATCCAAGTTTTTTTTCCTTGTTACTGGTCACCATCTAACTGAATTATATTGTACAAGTGTCATAAACGCCATTTTAATTAATTTGTAAACTAGTTACCAAAGAACTCGATCAACGTGTTGCGTACTATAGTTTATCTACCACCGAGACTTTTGACTGCAGCTTTGCAAAACAATATGAATACGTCCACTGAGTGACCATCAGAGCTGGAAAACATCAAAGGACCGTGGCTAAGGTCTATCGAAAACATCCTATTGCTCCAAAACCAGCATCTGAAATGGACAATGAGGTCCATATCTCAAAGTGACGCTTTCCAAACATTTACATTTACTAGGAAGTAAACAATGCTTTACTCACTTGTCACAAAACATACAAATTATGACCTCGGATTCGTTTAGGAAGCCTTCCGGACGTTTTCAGTACTTTGCCCATGGATTTTAAACATCGATGGGTTTTTTACGATTGTCTGTTCTTATGAGCACGTGAATCACTCAATGAATACGTTAGTCGTGGTCGTAGAAAAAGTTATACGACACGCCACCCTCTTGCCGAAAGAAACTCGTGATTAAAGTGGCGTTCATCAAACTAGTTCCATATTATATTATTTTCAACAATAATACCGCTAAATCTTGGCACTAATAAATGATGCATTTGCAGAATGTATGTATATGACATCTGAAGAAGGGCTGTTTTATTACAAACAACCAAAGGATGGAGACGAAACGACCTGCGGGATCTACATGTTCAGCGAGCCCGATCAGAATATCGAAATTCAGTTCAATTATTTTGACGTTCCATGCGAAAATAAAGGACTAGTGGCGGTAAGTTAAATTTGGAGAGTAAGGTAATCATTTCGAGGGATTTAAATGCTCCGTTACGGAGATGACGTAAAAACGGCAAGAAAAAAATAGTTTTGACAGGTTTTACTCTCCGACTCCGGATAACTAATTGAATATCTTGTTCTAAAATATGGCCATAGTTGTAAAGATACACTTCAAAATAAATAAGAACTAAAAGTTTTCACGAAATTATATGTTACGACATGACAATTGTTTCGACAACACCGTGTCTTTATCAAATGTAATATTTACAAACTACCTGCTACTATATATACCGAAAAATGACCATAAAACCTTAATTAATGTTGTTGTGAGAATCTAAGTTCAATAAAGGCGAGGTATTTGAATCTAATTGATCGTTAAGCAATACATTTCAATGTCTCATTTTGTTAATCTCCATGGCTTCCAATAAATTTAATTTTCTACTTTTTGTGGCTGTTTATAAAATATAAAAATTGTCATCAAAAATGTGTTTTTCTGTGTTTAAGTGTGTAGCATAATTAGAATCTAAGCGTTAATGCGTTTCTTGAAGGATCTACCTGTTTGTCCAATATAAATTTTAGGACAAGAACCACATTTCAACCTGTAGACACCTGATTTTTGGGATTTTGAACATTTCGTTTTATTGTTTTTTAAATATTTTCCTATTGTGTTGTTAGTTTTGAGAGCTATTTTTAAACCACATTTTGACAAATGTTTTGAAACTTTTTCACTAGGTTCTCCTATGTTCTGTATTAGGTTTCGGACAAATAGAGTTTACTGTTGTCTGCAATCATTTTAAGAACCATAAACATAATCTTGACAATTATGGCTAGGTTAATCTTTTCATTGCCATTTTCAATTTTTATTGAATTTATTTAAAGCTGAAACTTGACATCTTGAGATTCCAAGATCCCAGAACTAGTGTTACTACTCTTTGAGAGATGGCATCACAGATATAAAGTTGATAACTGAACTTTACTGGTAACAGTGACAGTCATAATCGAAGGGTCGACATCAGAAGAGATAGCAATGAGAAGAGGTGCGTGAAAAGAATGTGTGTTATCTCTCCACCCCTCTTGTTGAACTACCAACTACTCTGAGGCAGTGTTTACCGAAGCTCTCGAAAATTGAAATTCGGCTCTTGAATGCATACTTGAGAGCAAACTATTTATATTCTCCAAGACACAACGACGAGATTTCATTGAACACGTGTCTAAATTACCTGTGCTCACTTATCAATCAGCAATGCGACCCAAGATAAGATGCAGAATAATATGAGGTCACTTCTGGTAAATCGAAGCCTCAGTCTTGAGCTCCGGATCAGAATACTTCGCTGCTACATCCCTTTGTATGGATGGGAGAGTTTGATTCAGCCACAGAAGAGAGAATGGGCGCTTTCGAAATGAGCGAAACTACAGTGCGGTGCGGTACGGGAACGACATTCTCCTCCTAATAATAGAAAGCAAATGGTTTTTATGTTAAACTCATTTTGTTAATGCAATTATTACTTCACTAAATTCTGTTGACAATTGCGCTCGTACGCTTAATCGTTATATTTTAAAATTTCAGATAGTCGACGGATGGGAGTTAAACGGTCAATTATTTCCCAATCTAGAGGACCACCCGCTACCTCTAAAGAAACGCTTCAACGAATTTTGCGGCAGAAGAAAAATTAAGCACACTTTTACCAGTTCACAAAACGTTGCTCTCATACAATATCGAGTACCATCCAGGGGTTCGAGTTTCGGTTTTAGTATCCGATTCATCAAAAATCAAAGTCGTAAGTGATAGTTAACAATTTACAACCAGATTCGCTTCTCAATACAGAGATTTTCGCTACTATTATACCTACTCCAAAGGTTAAATGGTTAAAGTTTAGAGGAAACTTCGTGCATATGATAACCAGAACTTGCCGGAAATATGGTTTATATATTTTTCGTCAATAAATCAAAAACGGATAAATTAGCAACTGTCAAAATGTGATATTATTCAGACTTTTTTAATACGACTAAGTTATCCGTATGACATGTCTCAATCTTCTTTTGTTACCTCATACACCGCACCACACAACCTGACTTAAGTTTCATATATCATACGGTCGCCATATTGGATTTTTAGATTTTTGGAAATGCGTAAAATTTCCAGTTCAGTTATGTCTTACAAGCGCACAAAAGATTTTACTACACGTAACACAAGTTTAAGAAAAAATCAGAAAAGTGTTGATTAATTTAATTTGCTCTCGAATAACCTACAAGTTCCATAACAATTTGCATCGAGACGTTTTTGGTAGATGTGGATATTGTCTCAAGGTTTCTATAATCTTTTGAGGAACATTAAAAATCAGAGACCTCATTTTTTGTGTGTCCTCAGAGGAAGAAATTCAACGGCGAAAGATCAGGGGATCTAGGAGGCTAAGATATCGGAGCATTTAATGAAATAACTTTTTCATCAAACTGTTCGTTAAGAAATTCCTGGCTTGAATAAGAGAAAACTTTCCACTTATTATAGTACAATTTTCATGCTTTGAATTGTTTAATTTCTTTCCTTAGAAGGAAAAAAGGTGACAATTAATTCATGACCTACTTATGTTCACCGTTTAATCAATGCTTTCTTAAGAAAACAATAAGAAATGCTAGTGGCCTAAAATCATGATAACGATTGGATTAAGGAATGTAAACGAACACTTGATATCTTGTTATTGTTTATTAAATATGATAATCTGTTGAAAACAGAATTATCTCGGAAATATGACGCTAAACTAAAGCTTTCTAGTAATAAATCCAAATGCATGTGATCAATATGCAATGAGATAGAAACAGCGTGAAGGAATCCAAATGAAGTTTCAATTTTTTTTTTCAAAGAAACTTCCACAGGCTACTGTAATACTTTTTACAAAACTTCTGGATTCCTCTCTGCGTCGGTTTGAGTCATGCTCTGAATAAGCCAACACGATGATTGGCGAAACGTCAGCAATTTCGTCTCAGCAAAAACCGACGTAGGAGGAATCCAGAAGTTTTGTAAAAAGTGGGAAGTTTCAAATCATTTTAGTTAATATCTGTTGATCATTGTGTCTGAATTATTAGAAACCTAGAAAAAGTTTTCCAAGAAAATGCGTCTAAATTCCAATTTTAAGATCCGTAACACCACATGAGATCTGTCATTTTGTCGAACAAATTAAAAATAAACATAGCAGTGGAACAGACTAGTATAATACAAATTTTTGTTTCATATGTTAGTAAAGTGTTGTGTCTATTAATTAATGACTCATTTAAAATCGTTTTAATAAAACCGCTCTATAAAAAGGGAGACCTAGCAATAATTACCAGTTGCAGACCGATTAGTATTTTGGACTGATTTTCTAAAATATTTGTTTATTTAACTGTTTTAGGAAGTATAAACTGTTGTAGTAAATAAATCTACACAAACCGCTATATTTTAATTTATAAAAACAATTTTGGCTAGAATTGTTTAAATCATATTTATTGGGCAGGAAACAAGTAAAAATATCCTTAAATGGTATTAGTTTCCTTTCGGTTATTAAGGAATATAGGCTGGTCATAGCACAAGGTAGTATTCTTGGCCCAATTTTATTCATCATTTTTGTGAATGACTTGCATCATGTAACAAAGTCAGAAGACGAGAGCATAATATGCTATGTGAATAATACTAATCTGCTTATAGTTGGAAATACGGAGGTTAGCGATAGAGATAAAAAGAAAAAACATATTTATTCATTTTTAGAACTATATTAGATACAGGTGAAACACAACTAGGCCTTGAGAAGAGCACTAAATTCTTAGGTTTACAAATTAATCAGTTTCTTAATTGGCCTGAACATATTGATTATTCGCTAAATAAATTTAATTCAGTTTGTTATGGAATTAGAGTTGTTGCAGCCTATATGAATATTGAAACTTTAAAAATGATCTATTTTGCAAACTTTCAGTCACGCATGAGGTTTGGAATGATGTTTTGAGGAGGTAGTGTTGTATTACAGAAAAATTTCGTGGTTCAAAAGAGACTCTTCGTAACTTAAAAAAAGCGATTTAGAGAGAGCTGTAGAGTGGTGTTCAATGCCGAAGGCATTTTCGGCATGTACCTTATATATTTATGAAGCACTTAAAATAGAAAGCGCTTCTTCTTCTTCTACTTCTTTATATGCCGTCTCCTCTAAGAAGATTGACTATCATCATAGCGATTCTCATTTTGGACTCCGCGCTTGCAATAATTCTACTGATGTAGAGTGGCACCACTCTCTGAAGTGTGCCTTCTCCCATGCTTCTTTTGCCTTGTATTTTTCGCTGCATTATTAGTTGTAGCATATGGTACCTTTTTCCGGGCAAAATGCGACCCAGGTAGGCAAGTTTCCTTGTTTTCACAGTCTCCACTATCTCTGTTGTTTTATCCATTCGTCTTAATATCTCTTTATTTGTTACTCTCCTCTATTCAAGAAACTCTAAAATGCGTATGTATGCCCGCAGTTCAAAAGCCTGCAGTCCTTTTAAGTCGTAAGTTTGAGGTTTAGATCTGTAGCGCAGAATACTTTTCGCATGTTGGTAAATGCAGGAGTGTCCTGCGCTGGAATTTAACATGGTACTAAGTTGCTTTGCTTTGCTGTTGACCATAAATTTGGTCTTATTGGTATTAAGTGTAAGACCAGCTTCTTCACTGTTATTGATAATTTTGTCCGTCATAGTTCCGCGCTACTCTGGGCTATTACCAAGGTGTCAACGGACTTGGAGATTCAGATATTTCACAGATATATTATCAGAACCTTTAATGTGAAGTACCCAATTCACTGTTTATCCTTAAGGAAGACTTTTTTTTGTAGTCTTTAATTAAAATTTAATTAATATAATGTTGGTAATCGAAATTTGTAATAGAATCTAGTGTCCCTTTTAAACACCGATTTCCTTTGTGTTTGTTATGTTATTTTTATGTAATGCATTTGTAATACAATGTGACATAAAGTAGATTATAAAATCATTAAGACCCATCTTTAAGTGTGATAAAATCTTTTGTGCACTAATTCGGCTTTTAGCCGATATTTCCAAAAATGAACTGACCGATCTTAAATCTAAACGCGATTATCATATGCAGTAAGTTTCCTCTAAAATTTTCCCCATCCAACCTTTGATGTTATGCATATCGATAACCATGCGCGCATTGTGTGTAATATGATATTTAAATTATACTTACCTGTGCGACCCGTAATATCTTCCGCCCCTTTTTCAGCCTGCAATGTTCTCTTTCAAGCGGACGAGACGTACACCTTAAGAAATTATGGAAAAAGATCGAATTGCAGCCTGAGCACACTTTTTCCCGCAGCGGTTAAAGTGGTTTCCTTAAACGTCGGAATGAGCCCCATGGCCGGCAGGGGAATGGAAGTTGAGACTGGCACCATCTACAAGGTGCGGTCAGAGGTAGTGCATGCGTTAAGGTAGAGGGGTGGCAATTAATTTCTTTCTGAACTTGAGACGGCTCGCGACTTTCTAGATCCATCATGGTTAATCGTTCTATTTCAGTGCGCAAAAAGGGGTCTCGATGACTACGTACAAATAGGAGGTTCGCCCGGTTTAGACAACGCCAACTTGGAGGTCGCGGATTCAGTTTGCGGTGTCAGTTCCAAACCAGGTATGATATATAGTTTCGGTTAGAAAAAACAAACAGGAGCCGTCGTACGTACTTCCAAATTATACACGGGTGTTTCTAATTCAAGCTTAATCATTGGCATCTCCTAAGCTACACCAACAGTTAGTTGATTAAATTACTAATTAAAAACACAATAATGGAATTAAAGGACACGTTTATAGTGGACCTCTCGCTGACAAAGAGAAAATAGCAGGAATTTTTAGACTCGCTCTAACGTTCGTAAATCACAAACAGACCAAGAAAGGTCATTTACAATATTAGCCTAAAATTGAAAATACCGAACTATCAGCATATTTCTCTTTTAGACGAGGTGCTATGAGGGGTTGCGAAATAAAACTCCATTTTTCCTTTCATTATTTTATTCGAGCGTAAGAAACAGTAATAACAACAGGAATTTCCACGTCTTCATGTAGTATAACATTTTTTCGTCTCCTTTTAGCTAAAACGGTTTCATTATTTCCTAAAATTCGATAAAGGCGCAGGAAAATTGTTCAAGGAATGAAAAAGGCAAAATAATGAGAGCCGCACAAATAGAAAATAGAACTAATTTTAATGTGTTAATTATTAGTATTGTTATATCAATTGTTTTTGATTATTTATTACAGCATCACTGATTCAAAAATGGTTTTTACACATGAAGAAAAGTGTGATATGTTAGAATGCTATGCAGTAAATCGTCTGTAAGGGCAAGAGAACGATAAATATATACTATATCCACAGCGCGTTCTATTACATGAATAATTTTTTCTGCATCCTTATCGCATCTTTAGAAATAATCAAACCGTTTTTGTAAAAAGAAGGAGACGAAAAAGTTTTATTGTCACTGAAGACGGGGAAATTGGTTTTCTTGCATATTTTCAAGCATATCGTGATAAGTCTATTCTTCAATACTGTCCAAAGGATTAAAAAAAAACACAAATTTTTGCATTTACAAATTTAGACCAGGTCGGATGCTTTTGGCAGGGGATGCAGAGAGGAGGCTTTTTTATCTTTGGTATGCTGCCACAACATAAATAAGTTTCGGTATATCACGGACGAATCAAATTTTTCACATTCTGTAATTTATAATCCAAAGAGATTATTGTAGAAGGAAAATGTATCTTTTGGTACATCTCCGACGTCCACAAGTTAGTTTCAGCTTTAAAGTTTGATGCGGCATAATAGGTTCTCTCGTTGTTGTTAGATATTTTTACCATGGCAAGCTGACCGGTGTTGTCTGGATGGTTTTCTAGATGAGCCTGACCTCATAAGTTGGCAGAATTGTCATTTCCAATAAGATGGCGCTCAATCTCCCAACTTCCGAGGCACATACCAATTTTTGACACGTATTATACACGTATTGTTACAAATTTATTCCTTGGCCTCCTAGGTCACCAGATATAACCTCACTAGACTACTATTCATTTATTTACAGGACGAAATTTATAAACGAAGATACCAAGACACTGACGTTCCAAAAGATGCAATAAGAGAATAAATAATCCAAATACATAGTAGAACAATACTGCTCTAAATGTGCTCCAAAATGTGTTGAAGTACGAGATGCTCTTTTTGAATATCACTTAAAATAACTTTAATAGTTCATCTTAAAATAATCAATAATAAAATAGAGAAATATGCTGATAATTCGGTTATTTTCCATTTTCAGCTAATATTCCATATGACCCTTTTTGTTCTGCAGGTGATTTGCGAACATTAAAGTGAAAATTATACATTGTGTTCCATATAAAAGGAGTACGTTTACCTAATATTTTCTGTTTTCATCATCGTAGTCACTGGAAAAAATGCTACAAGTTTGCTAATTTAACCAACTTTGTAACTCTACTCATAACAAAGTTACCCATGATGAACATTTAATTTAGAATCGTCTGTAAGGTGATTTTTGCATTATGGGCCTATATTTTACCTTGTACCTTAAGAAAAAAAGTGAAATACGTAAACTTATAAAGTTAAGTTTTGTATTTATTTTTTTATGTTTTGTGTTGTGTCCTCTGTTGACGTTGATTTTCTTAGTTTAAAACACGTTTATAAAATTTTGTCATATATGAGAATATCAATCTGTAGGATACTATCTTTTGAAAGGGTCCGACTCGTAGACTTTTATTGCCCCAGTAAGGGCAACGAGGTATGATCTTATGCAAACGGCCGGTCGTAGAAATTTTGAAAAAGGAATTTATTATGTAAATCGGCCAAGAGGAAATGCAGGAAATTATTTTCGCGTTTCTGAAATATCCACCAGAGGATGTACTTGTTGTCTTAAATTTTAAAACTCGGTTTGTATTATATTATAGTCATAAAATATGAGTATTTGAAAATAAAAAAATGTTTTTTTATTCTGTTGTATAATTCTGCTTAGCTATGTGAGTTTAAAATATTAAATAGCGCGTTTTAACCGTTGATTATAATCAAGCATCCACTTTTGTACATCGGGTTTGTTGTCTTAACCTTAAATCTCTCTTTTTAAAGACGAAATGGAATCAAACTAACATCATTCAGGCCTATATTGAGAAAAAATGCGGTTTAATTTTATTTCCGACTTGTGTTTTTCTGATTTAGAAAATTATTATGCACTGGGCCTTGTCTATTGTATTAGGGCAGATATTGTTAACATTAATTCAAACGGAAACTGGAGAATGCAGTCGCTATTGAGTAATAAATTGAAAACCTTTGAGGTTGCGTGGACGTTGTAAAATATTTTCCATTTAATCGGATTTCACAAACTACATACACTCCTGCAGCAATAATGTGCTGGACTCGGCAAGTAAAATATTTTATATAGAATATGACATATATTCAGGTAGTATTTCACAGTATAAAAACAATGTAAGATTGAGTTTATTACCATAAAACAAAAAAGGACTAAATTATTTTTTTATGTTTATGTTAAATAAATTTCTGAATATTTTCTAAGAGAATATTTCTTCATGGTGCAGTTTTGGTATCAAGTCAGAGGGTTGTTTAGAGGAAGTCCACAATATTTTTCTGCAATTGGAGATATTCTCGATTTCCTCAAGTAGCCCTGTCAACCGATGCCACTATGATCTTTCTATCTCACCCTGCTCTTATTGTCCCATGATTGTAACAATAAACGGCTAGAAAGCATCCTCAAAAAGTAAATAATTCAGGTAAAACATGCTTGCCTAGAAGTTCATCATAGGGCTGTGTTCATATAATAAAATTTTCATTTTCATGCTCACCGACTATGTTCGTAATTTTCACACACAACAATTTAAGTTTGGAAATATGGAAACTTGGATATAAGTACAGCTTAGTTAATAAATAATTCACTTATTTCACTAAATTTTCGATTGTTCTGAATCCTATTTTGCACTGCATGAAATTGTAAAATGTAAAGGGTTTGCTGAACTGCTGAATAATAAATAAATTTAAACTTAATGCAGCCGATCCATATTCTGAATAGATCGATTAACGATTTTTGTTGTTTTTATGGGTTTATCATTGTCTTGACGAGAATTAGTTAATACGTTTTTCGATTGGTGTTACTAACTTGAGTTCGATATCTAGTCTTTGTGCTGATTACAGTTTCAAGTCATGGCCACGACTGGAGATTAAGACGGTCAACGAATTACATACAAATTTGCTCTCAAGTTTGTCTAAGCTTGGGGAGGGAAGGAAATTCCTTGGCCATTCCGTAGTCGTCAAACATTATTTCAGGACGCCATAACACATTAATTAGTTTACTACCCTTTATTAATATTTGGCATGTCGGAACTTGACGAACGAACTTTGATTAAGGAACTTTAGGAAAGACGCAATAGACCATCTTGCAATAACGACAATTGTTACTCGTTTCATTGTTAATTATAATAACATAATATTCGGACACAATACACATTAACGCTAGTTCAAAATTTATTGACAATTCTTTATAGCACTTAGCACAATGGATCAGAAGATAGAGTGTCCAACTTAAAAATTTTGAAGCTTTCCTAGTATATTTATTGACACGATTTTCTGAAAGTAGGCTTGTCATTCTAATATATTTTTTTCCGCAATTTAAGTCAGGTATTGAATATGCTGCATTTGATTTCGTTTAAATTAGAATGAGTAAAAATGGGTTTTATTAATTTGTAAGATTTGCGCAAACTGTGAAATCACAGCTAGAAAGAATATGTCTTACTTTTTAATACAAATTATTTATATGTGGATTGGAAAATACTTTTGATTGTGTTTGTTTAAATATTTTTATTAATATTATTTTTGTTTGACTTTTTTTAAAATTTCTGCTCTATTTTCTAATAATACTAGTTTTTTAGCAGGAGCTGTTAAACTAATAATAATAGCATTTTTTTTATCTCTGGGGTGATTAGAAATATATTATACAATATAATATACGATGTATCTTTTGCATACGATTTTTTTACGTTACTATTATTACGATTTCTTACTAAAGTAAAGAAAAACTATTTTATTATCTTTTTCAATTTTAATTGCAAATTTTAATTTATATATCCTAATTTATATTACATAATTGGTTTGAAAAAAATATTTAAAATTTAAATTCTTAAAGCATTCTCTTCTAAATATTCCATCACATTTAATTCTAGTGATAATAAATAGATAGTAATGATAACTTTCTTATTGTGAATATTGTCAAAAATGATATTTTTTTCATGTTCCTGTTTTCAGCATTATTTGATCAAAATTCGGTTAATAATAATTGTAGATTCCAATAATATTCCGATTCTGCGTCGTTTAATTTTTAACTAACTTTTTAACTAACCAAAACTAACCAAAACTAATAGTGATGGCAATAACAAACAAAAAAATCAAATACTGGAGTTGAAAGGGCCAATAAAGAGTGTAATTAATTACCTTGAGTTTTAAAACCGGATTTATCCAAAATTATCTAATACTAACCATAGTCAGATGAGCATTGCTTTAAAGCTGAGACGAATTCAGGACATCCGAATACAATTTCCGAATACACCCTACACTTTCCTTATAGGGACAAAGTTAGAAGAGTAGACATCTAACTGAAAAATACGTAAATGTTAATAGCTTTACTATATTTTTGAAGCACAAATTTATTTTCAATTAAAAATATTTTAGCTTTAAAAATTATAAAAAATTATGCTGTGGTTTTCAACAAATTATGTTGAAGAAATGATAAACTTCCAAGATAATGTTCAACAAAAATTGTTTTGTTTTCGGATTTAAGAGCATTGTTGAATATCAAAAGTTTTTTTTGTTGCTTGTGACTAAAACTACTATAAAGAAAAGGAAATATTAACTTTGCGGAAACCATTGATACTTTCCTTAACTATTATCTAACACAATCTGAATTCAGGTCATAATTTTAAGCTTTTTTGGACTGATTCTAGCCTACAGTTTCCTTTAGTAAGGAGTACATCGAACTAGCATTTTAAACGAAGAATAGGTAGTTAAAAAAAGAATCGCAATAATAAGCTTTTTTTACAACAATGGTACCTTATAGTATTCAGTTATTGCGATGATGAAAAAAGGAATCTTCTAAATCTTTTTAAATAGAATCGAGTGTCGTACTCAGATTCTAAAGTTTTTATGATACGTATTAATTTTTGTTGAATGGAACACCATGTATCGTATTTTTTAATTTGGTTACTCTTTTTTATGCGCTATTCAAAAATGTATAATTTTTTTAAATAAACGTATTTTAATATTTATTTTTTAGAACAATAAGAAGAAGAATAATGTTAACCAACAACGATGAATAACAATGATAATATTGTGGAATATAAGTGTAATGAAAATAGAAACAAAAAACAGAAAAAAAGCGCAATCAAATCAAAAAATCATACTAGTCTAAGATAAGACCATAGCGTCAACAGGATGAAAATTACATTTCATCAAATAAAATAAGTTTCTGAACGTGACTTATTATTATTATTATTATTATTATATTTAAATAAAATTTTAAGGAATTATAATTTTTTTTAAATTTCACTGGTGTGTCTACCAAACGAAACCAACTCCAGTGAAAAGTAAATACTGTACACAATTTGCAGCACCACAGTAGCTTACCTTTTTTTGATTACTTTTACCATAGCTGCGGTCAAACAGATAAATTGATATTAATAGTTGCACTCTGCGTCAGCAACAGACACAAATATATTGATAATATAAATTGGTAACACTTATAAAATTAAAAACTCTGAAATTTGCTTACGACTTCGCTAAGTAAAACGAGGAGCGGATCTTAATCGCATTAATTGTAGCTAATTAGCATCACAATTGAGACTTGATTTATGACTAGGTCTACTTGCTTTTCATCCATACACTGGTTCCGATTACACTGCAGCTTTTTATAACAAAGGAAAAGTTACCAAAACTAACCAAACAAGCAAAAAAAAATTTGGTTCATTAACGGAGGAAGCAAGAAGCAAGAAAAAATGTATGTAATTGAAGAATTTAATGATGCCAAATATCAAATATTGGGTAAAAAGATTTCTGCAAAAAAAGATTTTCTAAAAAAAGTTAGAAGTTGTGATTCAAACACTACAGCGCCCTACTGGATTTCACTACAACAAAATTTTTTAGGTGCTATATATGTAAACTCAATGTGGTTACATGATCTGATCCTCACTGCCCAAAATTGAACTCTGAAAATTGTGGTTGGTTCCCAGATGGATATTCAAAACCCAAAGGATTTAAGTGAGACCAGACACCTTTAAAAATAGATGATATTTTAGGGATGATAAAAAAAGAAAATGAATACGATTCTTCTGACTAGATATTGAAGCCTTTAAAAATAGATGATATTTTGGAGATGATAAAAAAAGAAAATGACGACTCTTCTGACTTGGAAAATAATATAACTTCCGACCATTCTGATCCTGAATAATTTATTGCTGTTATTTGTGTGATCATTTATTGTACTATATTGTAGATATTGCTTAATAAACAAATCTTCATTTTTCTGCTTGATATGAATTAATTTTTTTTAATATATAATTTTTTATTTATTCTAAAGCGTCTATCTTTAATGCTTTTATCTATTACAATTTTTTTAAAAGCTAGTTTATTACATTTTAGTAAAAAATCATCTTATCTACTCCAAAAGACTGCTCTATAGTCAATTAATTATATTGTATTCTTTTTTTCATCGACAAGTGGTCTTCCTTTGTCTTGCACTTCGCTGCTTCGAATTTTTTAATTTAATTTGCAATTAGCATTTATGACCAATTTTTTTGAGGTAACCTTTATTTATAATTATTTATAATTAAATTACTTTTATTTTAAGACTAGTCCGTATTGTTTGAAAAAAGAGTTCAATTATTAACATTAACGTACCTGTTTGACCGCAGCTGCTAGGTAATAGGGACCAAAAAAAAATCAGCTACTGTCGTATTGCATATTATGTATAGTACATACTTTTCCCTATGGTTAGTTTCGTTTAGTAGACACACCGGTGAAATTTAAAAAAAAATCGTATTTTTTTCAAATTTTAATTAAAAAGAATCTTGAACATTTTCGTTAAAGTTGCCATATCAAGTCACGTTCCGAAACTTATTTTATTTGATAAAATGTTTTTTTATCGGGTTGTTATTATCTGAGTAGGCTTCTGCGCAAAAAGATTTATTATAAATTATTTTCTTTATCTCAGCACGAAATAGGGTGTCTAAAATTAACAGAGTAACTGAAATGACCATTTTTTTCTTTTGCTTTTCCTTACAAAACAAAGTCAGCTAGGACTGTTTCGAAAAGGGCATAGCTAAGTTTCTAATAGTAACTTTCATTTCATTTAATTGAAAATACTTTTTTTCGTTGTCAGGAAAAGCTGCCGATTTAATAGCCTGCGAGACCACAACCGTCAGACTGGTGTCCGGAGGAGCTTTCGATAATTCGATCACCGTTTCCTTGAAAAGGCTCACCGAGAACGATTTGAATGCCTACATGAGCGCTGTGTGTCTTCCTGATGATATTTCAAAGTAAAATCACCTTCCTTTTAGGAAATAAGCTGTTTTGGAGTATCGCCCTAGCTTCGAAGATATTTTCTCCTTTGTAAGAAGATTTGGTTTTTTCAACAAATGCGGTTTTGTTGGTGATGTTTGTTTAAAACAATGTTAAGTAATATTTACTCAGTAGAGTAGAGATATACGTGTACAAATATGACGAATATATCTATTTCAAAAACCTCATTTTGACATTTTGTTTGTTCCTTGCGCTTTGAAGCAACAACACAACATGAGACTGAAATGTGGAGTGGATCCTCAAAAACGCCTTGAGGATCCTTCCCCAAAGAATCATCAAGCCTTCCTCTGCTTGTATAGTCTATAGTTGTACCTTAGCTTGTCCTTCAGGAACGTTTAGCAACGTTGAAAAGTTCTGTCCAAGGTTCAGTAGCAACCACAACGCGGGAGAATATATTGTTTATTGAACAGGTCTTGAGACTCCTGCAAGTACAGGGGCGCCTTAAGGAGCGCTCGAGGGATATCTGTAAATATATAAATTCAGAACTTTGTTAATTTAAGATCTAGGTAGTTCCAAATTACTACCAACAGCGCCATCTCTTGAGAGGAATCTATATTCACGATTATAGAGAACTGACATGCCGTTCCAAAATGATTATTGATTTTCAACTTTTGCTTCAGTAAACCTCCAGCAGAGGAAGCCAGATGAGGTATTTTGGAAACGATATATTTTTGAATCATCAAGTTTTTTTGCGTGTTTAGAAAAATTGTAGAAAAATTGTATTAAATTGAGGGGTATATAAGACAGTTTTTGAATAGTTTCCATGGTAGTTTGCTATTTTCGATAATATACAGGGTGTCCCATAAGTAATGGTGCATGGCAAAATAGAATATTCTTTAGTCCAACCGGGATACAAGGTGTCAAAATTGCAATTTCGTTTCTGATTTTTTCAAAACAGAATTTAAAATTAAATGTCTATTTCCAGAAAATTTTTTTCATTAACGTTTTTTAAGTTTTTTGTTTCTGAGTAAAAAATTTCAAAATAAATAAGGGATGTTTTTTTATGTATAGAACTTTAAGTTGCAATAAAACAACGATGGATTATTCGATTGACATGAATTTTATTTATCCGAAAGATAATCTTGTGGCATTACATTTTAAATATGATTTCTGGCATATGACCGCCACGGCTGGCGCGGATGTAGTCCAGTCTGGACGTCCAATTTTCGATGACTTTTTCCAACATTTATTGTCGTATATCGGCATTAACACTGCGAATGTTGTCTTCCAAATGGTCAAGCATTTGTGGCTTATCCGCATTGACCAATGACTTTACATAGCCCCACAGAAAGTAGTCCAGCGGTGTTAAATCACAAGATCTTGGAGGCCAATTCACAGGTTCAAAACGTGAAATTAGGCTGTCACCAAACATGTCTTTCAATAAGTCCATCGAGGCACGAGCTGTGTGACATGTTGCGCCGTCTTGTTGAAACAACATCTCCTGGACATCATGGTTATTCAATTCAGGAATGAAAGACTTAGTAATCATAGCTTTATATCGATCACCATTGACTGTAACGTTCTGGCCATCATCGTTTTTGAAGAAGTACGGACCAATGATTCCACCAGCCCATAAAGCGTACCAAACAGTCAGTTTTTCTGGATGTAACGGTGTTTCGACATACACTTGAGGATTAGCTTCGCTCCAAATACGGCAGTTTTGTTTGTTGACGTAGCTATTCAAGCAGAAGTGCGCTTCATCGCTAAACAAAATTCGTTTATGAAAATCGAGAACAACGGCAATCTCGTTTTCGGCCCATTCGACGAATCTACGCCTTACTTGATGATCGTTTGGCTTCAACTCGTGCACGAGTTGGATTTTGTAAACACGTAAACCAAGATCCCTTCGGCAAAATCTTCCATAAAGTGGATGGACACAGATCCAATTCCTGTGCTCGATGGCGCATGGACTCATTCGGGTCTTCCTCAATGCTACGCTCTACAGCAGCAATAGCTTCTTCTGTACGCACCATACGGCGTCTCTGGGGATGCAAGTTATCAATAAGAGTAAACGTGGTGCGAAAACGTTCCATGGTTAATCGAACTAACTGCTCTGAAGGACGATTTTGTCGATGATAAAATGGACGTAGTGCGCGATACGTATTCCGCACAGAACCATTATTTTCGAAATAAAATTGCACTATTTGCAAGCGTTGTTCAGGCGTGAGTCTATTCATGATCAATTGCCAAACCAAACTGATAATAAATCACTTGACAGCTGTTAAATCGGTCGCTATCTTGAACAGTAATGCCAACTTAAAGTTCTATACATCGAAAAAAAATACCCAGTAGTATTAAGAACGCTGTTAAAATATGTACTACCATACGCGCTCAGTTATATACAGTATCCAGGTTATTTTAAAATTGATGGCATAAAAAAATGATATTTTAAATTTTTCAAAAACGGCGAATGGGGGCGAAATTCAAAAGGTATACCTTATTTTCTAAAAAATGCGTAAGAAGTGATATCTTTATTATAAATCTGCATACACCAAGGCGCAAAAAGAGTTAGAAAGTATCAAATGTATTAGAAGTATCATACGTAGCTCTGTCTACAATTTGCCCCAAAATTATTTACGGAAATGTATTTCTCATGTTAAAAAACACCAATTTGCCAAATTTTGTGCAAAAAGCTCGATTATTTCAGGAATTATTAAAAAAAAACAAAAATGAAATTGCAACTTTGACCTATATCTCAGTTAATATCGACTTGTCTACTGAGATAAGTTTCGATAAATCGTAATATTTTTAGCTAAAGATTATCCTGTTTTATGGGACACCCTGTATATGCATAGTATAAGCGGCGTTGGTAGGTAAGGTATATCTTTGTGTTTACCTCAATTTCAGAAAATAAAGTTTATTAGCAAAATAACATTTGATATGGAGCAGCTGCCTTTATTAGCGAAACACAAAATCTTTTAAGTTGCTGCACTACTTATTAAGCTCTCCATTGTAGGTAATAGCATGTGAGCCTTAAGAAAGCAAAGTGGTGTGGGTTAGACTATTTTTAGAATACGTCAAAAGCCCTACGTAACAGTCAAAACGATATAGTAATACTATTCGAATATTTTAAGTAATGAGACCTGGTTTATATTTATCAAGCCGTTTAGATTTGAAGCTGTAAAATTATGGAATTAAAATTTTTGGGGTTCGACAAACGCAAATTGAACTAGTCGCTCCGCTCAAAGCAGGTCTTTCACTTATATTAAGATGCTTCTGTACAAGGTGTTTTTAGTTGCAAATTGTAACTTTAGTATAAGGTTCACCATTTGAAAAGGATACAGAGACCATATGATAACATATAACATAATAAAATATATAACAAACAAACTAAATGAAATATTTATTTTAAAATTGAGCAAAGGATATTTCCTTAAATTTAAACTACACACTTAATTACCATACTCTATTAACAAACATGACTGCACAGATTCATCGTATGACAAAATTTATAATACGATCAGTGTTTTATTTATCTACCGAAAACATCAGATCGCTCAGAATTTGTGACCAAAGTGTCTGAAACGCTCGAATTTTAATGTTTTAAGTTATTTTTGGTTAGTTTAGCATTTAGTAAGGGAATTATAACTTTCGAAGTTGCTCTGAACCATTCCTGATGTTTTTTCAGACCATGCTGTTAATTTTTTCAACCAAAACTTTCCAAGTCCAGAGAACTTCATACTGCTACTGAAAGCATGACCACAGTTATTACTAATTGTAAAGTATTTTCTGCTTACTTAATTGCAGAAAATTAATTTTATATAAAAAATAATCTCTTTATGTCTGCTCGCAATATAGAAAAAAGAACTTTTTGACAGGAAATACTTCTTTTAGTAGGGAAACACATAGTCTATTAAATTGCTACACTACTGGAATGGAGATAAAAACATATATCTTCATCGAACTGCATTTTAAATGTACCTGTATCTAGAAGAAAAAGAACATTGCTTTTACATGATGCCTCTAGAGAAAGTTTTTTGATACTTTCAGCACAAAATATTAAAGACTTCTCATAAGACTAGCATCAGGACGTAACAAGTGAACTTATCGAAAATTGGGAAAAAAAATCCCTTTATCCACATATTGCACCAAGCAGCACAATAATTTAGGATAACGCTAGTTATCACAGCGGCAGCAAAGGAGAGTTATTGCAGTGTTTGATTAGTCAGCATATCCTTTAACTTGAGGATACCAAAACCAACTAGTTGAAATTTTTATGGTATTGTAATCGTCTCATATCACATCCTATATACTGTTGGATTATCACTTGATCACTGGAGTGTTAATCATATACTTGAAGTGAAAAATATTCATAAAAAAACTTGGGACAACGTAAAACTATTAATTATTTCCCTGGATGGTAGTGATGCACAGATTCAAACTATTATAATTATATAAACTATTAATATATATTTATTATTTATATAATTACAATTATATAGGACTTAATACGATGGAATGTATCAATATATTTTGTGTTTCAATTTCCTTACTCTTGCCATGGACGGTTTGATTTATTGTAACAAAAATACCTGCGAGCAGATAAAGACATTAGTAACATTATTACTGTGATGACCATTTATTATGTATCGGACTATAACAGAAAATATGTACACCATGTGCCAAATAAAACGACCCACTATAAATTCTGGAAACGCATAGCATAGAAAAAAAGTTTCGTACAAAAGTGTATTTGACTCTTCTGAAGATTTAAAACATTATCATTTTGTTGATAAAGGATGTCCTAAAAGTGTCCCCTTCGACATCAACTTTGTTCTTTTAAATGGAACACCCTGTATTAATCGACATTTTTCGGCATTGTTAAAATAAAGGTCACTTTCTCAAGAAATTCCTATTCGAATTTTGCATAGTTTAGGCAGTTATCTGTTTTTTTTTTCATGTTTTGATTGCTCTATATAAAATTGTATTGTGACGCTACTGATCTAGTTATTACAAAGAAAATTTAACCACAGACTAAGGAGATGATGCACTACTGAAGTAGTTTGACAGATGCGCCTTAGCCTATACAGGGTGTCCCCAATAGGTACTGCCGTTTCGGCGAATTCAATTTAGTTTTTAAAATGGACCACCCTCTATTTTTATTCAGATATCAATTCTAGGATAAAAATAAGGTAAGTTTGTAATATATCTTGTATTT